TGATAATACGGTCCTGTTTTAATCATGGGGGGTTGCGTTGAATTCGGAAAGTAACGGCACGCAGTTTAGTCGAAGCTAGGATACATATGTAAAATCACATAATAAAATTGTAGCACCAAGATCCTGGTATAACCGTGTTTTGGCCTATCTTATTCATTGTGCGTGAAACAATTGGTATTGTTCTTTTTTTTGATACTCATCGAATGCCTAAATGGATAGAATGGTATTTGTGTCGACTTGTCATTAAATAGAAAGCACTTATTAAAATACTGCATTCGTTTTACTTCTAGAAAAACAATATTTTAAACAATTTTTTCCTATATTTATTTCCAATTTTTATATAAAGAATATACAGTATAAGTTTAAATTAAAATTTGTCAGTAAAATTTTAATAATTAATTAATTTTTAATTCGTATATAAGTAAAATTGTATATAATTGGCTCGTATTTTAAAATAAAACAGAAACTAAAGAAAATAAAGTTTAATAAAACGAACAAACAAAGATGTTGCAAAATAATTACACAATTTCATTTAATAATGTTAAAGTGAGACGTTTCGACTTTACAATGTCTTTTTCCGCAGGTAAAAATTCAGTATATAATAAATTACATTAAATCAGAAATAACAAAGTAATGCCAATGCGAGCCGACACGAGTGTTAGTGCATGCGTATAATAATTTTTATTGTTACAACATCCATCCACACATAAACTGCGCGTCGTCCTTTTGTCAGTCTAACACAATTTTTACATAAAACTGAAATCCACTGTAACAAATTAAATTGACATGCAATTTAATATTTTAGATGTTAATAAGCATTTATAAGAATGTCCCCTTTCTGCCTGAAGAATGCATCGACACATTATTCTTACATATTGGTTATTGCGAAAAACATCATCACATGTCTCGGTAGTCGAATAGTAGGACACTCATCCGGCAAAGTAGGGAGATCCAGGTTCGAATCTTGCTGAGGTGATATTTTTCGCAATAAATTCTTTACAGATTTCGAGGAGAGGAATTCTTATAGATGCTTATTAGCGTTAAAAGTATTAAATTGCTTATCAATTTAATTCGTGGACAGTGAATAAAAAATGCGGCGCGCAGTTCGTGTACGGCTGGATATTGTAACAATAAAAATTATTAGAGTGACATTGGTATAATAGGGTGAATTTGGTATATACGCCACGCGAGAATTTACATCGCAGAAGAATAGAAAAATAGAAGAAATAAAAGTAATTTTCTTACAACCATTCTGTTACATGTTTTTATATTATATTAGTATTGTGTTGTGATTTAAGTTGTTTACTATTATAAAATAAATATTTATAAAATTATTGTAAATTAAATCGATTTATCATTGTAATAAGTAGCGCAATCATAAGTTGTAATATATACATAAAATAATTAATGTAGGAAATGTAAAAGGCTTCGTGATTATTTCATGATACATAAGTGTAGAGGAATAGTGAAGGATAGAGTTTAGCAAAATACAAGTGCTTAGCTATTATATTCTTTGTTTAGTTTATTGTCTCGTATATCCCATCTGTTTATGATATACGGCATTTTTAGCGCGTGGGATTTATGCCGTAGTACAGACGTTCTATTATTTATTTATAAATATAAAAATAAGTAATAATACATGATAATACTTTACCTTTTATAATACATTAATCATAATATTTATGTGTATATATATATATATATATATATATATATATTTATGTATGTATACTTATTCATAATCTGTGATAATACGTTCTTTATTTATTTATTAATATGTAAATGCAAATTACATTGTCAATTCACGTGTTATTTACTACTATTATTTAGATTATTTGTATATTCTTTGAGTCATTTATCCCATCCGTAAGTAATTGTATAATTAACCCACCTCTATTTTTATATGGCAAAAATGCAAGGGTCTAAAGAAATTTTGTTTAAATAAATTAAAAAATAAACATTTTGGGTTTCTAATATTTTTTTATAGTAGTAGACAGTCTAAAGTTTTTACTGGTATAATTCATTTATCTTAAACAAAATTTATAATACTTGGTAAATTAAGTTTTTAATAGGTGCGACGTATATACCGGAGTTACCCTAATATACACTAACATTCGTATTGGCTTCCATTGGCATTACTTTATTATCTCTGATTTATTCTTGGAAGCCTAATTGATTTTACTTTCGATTTAAATTACACTAATCTTCTAGTCGGAGAACACTTAACGTTTCCTGGTGCGATTTTATAATGTTTCAATATTTAAAATTAAGATTGCTGAAATGTTATTTACTTTTCCTTTCGACGAATTTTGGTAGTTTGATTCAATTATCGATGGATCGACAACCAATCTCTCTTGAGGTGCAGATAATTCCATTACAACGAAGTCCTCTTCAATCAATATATGTACACATCTTTTTGACAACTAGTGAGATCTTCCCTGATCAACGTTCTTTTATCAATATCAGTGGGTATCTTTTAGAACATATATGGAAGTAGAATTGTCTAAACCATGCACCGAGCTGAAGCCAACATCTGTGCGAGAGAGAAAGGTATAAATTCCCAATCGTCTGTAATGCGCATGTACCATTCAACCCCCACTCAGTCCGTTTTGCCTAATTTCTTATTTTTCGAAAATCTTTAAAAAAAAATGAAAAACGCCTAAGTGGGGGCTGAATGGCACATGCGCATTACAGACAATTGGGAATCTATACCTTTCTCTCTCGCACAGATGCTGGCTTCACGTTCAGCACTCTATTCTCCTTCCAGTAATATATGTTCTAAGGGATATCTAGAGGTTGGTTGTCGATCCATCGATAATTGAATCAAACTAAAGTTATTCAAAAGAAAAGGTGAATAACAATGGCTTCAAAACAGCAATCTTAATTTTAAATATTAAATACTATGAAATAGCACCAGACAAGAAACGTTACGTGTTCTCCGATAGGAAGATTAATATAATTTTATTATACGTATATTGAATTTTTATTTGCAGCTGAAAAAGCTTTAGTAAACTCGAAATGTCGCTTTAACATTATTAAATAAAATTATATAATTATAATATATTGCAACATCTTTGTTTGCTCGTAGTTTATTGACCTTTATTATCTCTAATTTCTATACTTTATTCATATATTTACATACTTTACATTATGCTTTTTATTGTACGGTATAGTTAGTACTTTTTTTGACATCCACATGGATGCATGCCGTAAGGAAAATTTCACGCAAAAGGAGATACGTGAAAACGTAATGACGATGTTAGTAACGGTACGCATTTAATGCTATAAGTAATCATAATATAATTTTAAATAAATATAAAAAAATACACTTTTATCTGTATAGGCCACTGACACAATCGCTGTTGCGATGAATTTTGCCGTTTTCATTTTAGCAAATTTTCCAGAAATACAAGTATGTATATTTAATCCCAGACAATTAAATTTATTAGTTAAATAAACAAAGCGTTGTAAACTACATAATTTAAAAATGTAAAAATTGTGAAAGATATATTTTATTGTAATGGTGAAAAAGATATGTTTTTAACTTCCATTATATCACGTATCCAATATTGCGCCAATGAATTTGTCAATATGATATATTGTAATATATTGAGCATTGTTTGATTTGTTTTTACCGATACTTTATATAGTGAACGACAAAATTAACGCACAGGTAAATTTATATCAAAATTTC